TGCTGGAGTCAGTGGATTCAACTTGGATCCATCCTCTCCCACTCTTGTATTTTCTAGCGGCGGCGGTGAGGAATTGTTTGGATTTTCTGTGGCGCAGCATCGCACAACTGGCGGAGCACACTCGTGAGTACACCATAGACATCAGTGTGGCCATAGATATGACTAATAATGAGTGTAAAATGTCTCTCTTGTATTTATTGTTTTAATTAAGTGTCATTTAGAGTCTACTTATTAATTAACAACTTGTATTTTTATAATAATGATACTGTCATTATTTTTATTGTTTATTAGATCTAGTGTACTTTTAGTTACATAATTTTAATTCGTACACTAAAATTATGCAGCCCAATGTAACAAACTGTTATTAATTCAGACACTTTAATATTGCAATTAAATTCCACACTGTAGCCTTGCATACATACATTTCCCTATTTTTGTTTGGCATCTATTGATAAGTATCTAATTTAGAAGTTTATAGAATGACATTGTTTGTCCAATACACAATATGAGCCTCTTTGAAGCTGTATACTGACATGAATGCTTGAAATACTTGTGTTCATTCGTGTAAGCAAGGTTATAATTGTCCTTTTTGTAAGAGTACACGAGTTGCATATTTTACATGGTTGATAAGTATGAGTGGTTAATGATTTGTACTCTAGCTCCCACTTTTCCTACATTTCTCTCTCTTTCTCTTCCCTTTTGCTTTCTCTCTCTCTCTCTCTCATAACACTTTGTTCAATCCACTTGACATCTTTGTTCCTGCTTCACACTTGCTATTTAATAATAATGTTAGCAGCTCATCTTTTGTGTAAGGCTATCTGACCTTTATTCTTTATCATGTCCCAACACTTGTTTACCATTGAGTGCTACATTGTCTACCACTCCTCCCCCTCCTCCTCCTCCTCTCTCTCTCTCCTTAATCTCTGTTTCTCTTGGAGTCAATTACTAACTAATTGGGTGTGTGCATTGACTAATGGTCTGTGCAATGTAGGTGGTACATTGTTACGATGCTGCCTGTTTACTCATATAAATCCATGTTATCCTTCTACAGGGAGAGTAGTAATGATTTATTACATTGTGTGTTATTATATGGATGTTTGCATATATGTACAACCAAGAGTACAACAGATACACATCATATTGTTTGTAGATTTTTTGCCTACTTGCCTCCTAAGCTTGCCAATCATTACCCACTCCATTAGCTAATATTGCATTATTCTAATTGGTTAATTTTTTATTTAATTTATTGTTTTAGGTTATTTGTAGGTGC